TATGGCTCCAGCTGACTGAAAACGCATTGAACACGCGTACGTATTGCGGACCTGTTTTTTAAACACTGAGAAGAGTCCAAATTATAGCACGGCCGTAGGCCTGTACTTTTGATGAAATTTAAGGTGTTTGGTACGAGGTGAAACACTCTCCCAAATGTTTGATATTTATTGGCTCTATTTACACTAGATGACGCATTATCCATCCAGACGGCTCATGGATAACGACAAGCTGCAGCGTAAATAACTGCCACCAAGATGATACAGTTCGTGGTGACAGAGACACCTTGCTAGGAAAGCGTGGCAGACATTCAAGCGATTGAGATTTACAGGATTTACTTTTCTACTCTCACACAGATTGACTTCGCTAACCAGCTGCTTGCTCATATGGCAATAGAAATCAAGCCTATGAACGACGATGAACATATTCATTTTCCATTCCCGGCTCGGGAAGCTAAAAAACGAAAATTGGGCATTATGATGGGAATTATGGAACCGGTCTGGAAAAAAATATATTATATAAATATTAACCCCCACCCCCCAATTCCCCCCAAAATTCCCCCCAAAATTCCCCCCAATTTCTTCAATTCCCCTGTCGAGGGGATGGTGTGGATATTTTCTGGGACGACACGTTATAAAAATCTGTGCTATATATCTAACATTCTACACCCAGACAACTGCCATAGCTAATTGATTTCCTCTGTTTTAAACAAATTCATGAATTATTGGGTTGGAAAGGGATCATAGATATTTCAAGGCTGCTAACATTTGGGCCCGGTTCAGACGCCGTACTTTACATGCATGAGCCGAATCGAATTCAATGAATTAAGTTCATGTAAAGTACGGCGTCTGAATCAATTCGAAACGGCTGATTGAATTTGGATCGCCTCAGCCGTTCTTCACGCCTAGCTCAGCTGGGAATAACGGCTGTGGACCGGCTTTGATTCAGACGCCGATCTTTACATGAGCCGAACCAAATACATAAATTAATTTAATGTATTTTTAATGTATTTTGAAGACCTGAGTATGCGCAAAAGTATAAATTGTACGCTAGCGCATCAAAATGGTGGGTTTTGCCCGTCAGGGAGGAAGCCGATATATGCAGTTTGTCTTTTCCATTTTTCGTGTACAAACTTACTGCCACCCTGGTAAACAGCATCAAAATTAAATTTTCATTCGTCATAATTTTCGTGCTTGTGCTTGAATTACGTGTGAACATTGCATTTGTGAATGAGCCTGAATATTGCAGTTGGGCTTTTTGCCCAAATCGTGTATTTCATGGCATACAAAAAGGTTGAAAGTTGAAATTGTATGTTGAAATAAAGTTCATGTGAAGTACGACATCTAAACCAATTTATCAGTTGTCTTCCTGCAGTTACATGTAAATAGATTAATGCAGTTTGCCTCATTCTGCTCCTTTTTGTCGACTTTTCTTATATTTTTCACAGGACAGCTTTGGACCGTGTTTGGTTGTAGTTTACTATATTTGGGAGTTCAGCACGTATCAGCGCTCATGCACTTTTATACCCTATTGAATTTGAGTCCAGCTGGAATTGAGATCGGCGCCTGAATCAATTTAGTCAGTCTAAATTAATTTGGGTCGGTCTAAATTCGAATTCGATTCGGCTCATGTGAAGTACGGCGTCTGAACCGGGCCTAAGAAATCCAAATTTGTGTCATAAAGCAATCATTGGACTTGAACTGGTTGCCAGTAAAAAACAATTGTAAAAGTTTTGTATATCACCAATCAGTAAAGGATAATTGGTGTCAATGATGTTTTCTCAACATAACAAGAACATAACGTTCTTTTTCATTGTACATAATTACTAGAATGGTAATCTCACTCTTTATATTCTCATAATAAGAAAATAAGAAAAGAAATACACAGTCAAGGTCAGGCGCAGATTCCAGTATAGTCTATTAGTTTATAAAAAGTGAAGCCTATTGTTAGCTAAATGCTGATGGATCTCTGAGACCATTTTCTAAGATGAAGGCAGTATCATTTCCACAATTCTCTTATTTTCATGGATGTATACAACACCTGGGCTAGGCCAAGGCCTGAGCCATGGCATTAAACCGCCAATGACGGGGAGGACACCCTGGGGACGAGTTTCATGAAAAAAATGGCGGCTGTCGCTCGAATTTATAACGCCTGATCCCCGCGCGCGTAAGCAGTTATTATTTTCTTTATAATTGATAAAATCACAAAATTTGGGGTGGGCCATAGGGTAGGCCACAGGGT